GCACTAGCTTTGCAATTATTGCCAATTACATGCTCGAGTTAGCAAGCTTATGGTAGTGACAAAGTAGATAGACTTAGCGTAAGGACTATATTGTCACACAAATGTACATGAAAGACTTAATGAAAAATGTCTATTGGGGTGCTTGCCTTTCCAAGATAATAAGGTTTGATCCTTATATAAGTTCAAATATTTCTAGTTTCTTATGAATTAAGAAAAAGAAAAAAAGACCAAGCAAGCATTTGTTGGGAGTCATTTAAGCATGTTAAATTGAGCGCGATTTCAAATCTCTTGTTAATACAAATGCGCATCTTTTTTGATGTAGCGCGAAGCATAAAAATGATCGAATAAGTTCCTTGATTTCAAAGGAATACCGTAACACGATCACATTCTAGTTTTATTGATTTCTAAGAATAACTAAAATTTTGTCACAAAAAACTCTTTGATTCACGGACAAATACTGGGAATTTGGGTTTGTTCATTTTAAATAGTGCGAATTTGATAGATTAAAAACTCCGAAGTTTATTTTATTTCAATTCAAAAATCACTTCTTGCCACAATAACTTACTATCCTTATTTTAAAAAAAAATATCTAGAATCTAGATAATTAAGATAATTAATAAAATTTAGATAATTATTAAAACTAAAAGAAAATGATAAAATTAAAAGCCGTAATATTCAGAATTAATTTGAAATAAACGGAATTAAAACTCAATCTTCATCTTTCTCCTCCGATTGACAATGATTTGTCCTCGAATCTTGCACTGTGTTCTTTATTCAATTTCTCATGACAAGGACAATCCATTTGATAAATTACTTATAGCACGTTCTTCATCTTGAACAGAAGCAACCTCCTTCAATATTTTTTCAGGGCCCACCATTCCAAGTCCATGAGCCTCTAGGCTGAGCATCCTATGCAGGCTCTTCAATAAATCACGAACCACTAAAATTCTTGATGATTCCTTAATCACCTCAGCAATGAGAAACTCTAAACGAGTAGCAGGTTGTAAAGCCAACGATCCCCTACTCTAAGGAATTGTAAATGAATTCAGTATCCATTGCACGATTGGGAAACAATATTTTCATAACCTTTGTTAGAGATTCTTCAAAATTAATTATATGTAATTCTACACGTACTACGTTGATTATTGAAGATATGCAGAGAACATGAAAATGTGATGAGAGGAAAAATGGAGGAAAAATCTATTGCAGTCCTTCAGCTAAATTGTGTGGCCAATTACAGCACTAACCGGTATATAAACTAATCGGTTGAAACGCTACAAAGCAAAGGGAAAAAGGAAAAGACTAGACTAACCTTCTATAATCTATACAATTACATAAATATCCTTTAGTTAAAATGGTTTAACACTCCCCCTCAAGATGATGAGTAAATGTTTAATACTCCCATCTTGCACAACAGGAACCTGAATCTTGATCCACCTAATGCCTTTGTTAGTAAATCAGCTATTTGATCTTGTGATGCCATGTATAGCATTTTTACTTTCCCTGGTTGAAATTTATCTCTAACCAAGTGACAATCAATTTCGATATGCTTTGTTCTTTCATTGAATACGGGATTACTAGCTATATGAATAGCAGATTGGTTGTCGCAAAATAATAAGGCAGCTTTGGAATGTTTGACACCCAAATCACAAACCAAGTTCTTCAGCTAACTTAACTCACAAACAGCAACTGCCATAGACTTGTATTCTGCTTCAGCCGGAGACCTTGAGACAGTATGCTACTTTTTGGATTTCCATGATATCAAGGAGTTCCCTAAAAAGCATATTCAGTAATAGACCTTCTACTGTTTGAGCATGCTGCCCAATCTGCATCACAATAGCCTTTGAGGTGTAAGTCTATTTTGCTTTCAAAGAATAGCCCTTGTCTGATGTGGCCTTCAAGTATCTCAAAACATGGTATGCTGCTTCCAAGTGAGGCTACTTCGGTGATTACAGAAATTGGCTTAGCAGCTATACAGTATAAGACAAGTGAAGTCTTGTTATGGTCAAGTAAAGAAGTCTTCCCACTAGTCTCCTATACTCGCTGGCATCCAGAACATTATCTTCCCTATCCTTGCTCAATTTTAAATTGTGAGGTAAAGGATTAGCTACTGGTTTAGCTCCCAAGTAACCCGCATCAGATAAGACTTTTAATGCATATTTTCTTTGACATATAGAAATGCCCTTCAAAGTTCTAGCAACCTCAAGTCCACGAAAATACTTAAGAATCCCCAAATCCTTTAATTTGAACTGATCATTTAGCATCCTTTTAAATTGATCAACGTATGACTAATCATTTCCACCAATAATAATATCATCCACATAGACTTAATAGGACGGTAAATGAGCAGCCATTATGTTTGCTAAACAATGAGTAATCTGCTTTTGACTGTTGGAATCCCTATAATAGAACATATGATGTGAGCTTGGTATTACATTGCCTTGAAGCCTGTTTCAATCTATATATGGACTTGTTTAATTTGCAAACCAAGTGTTCTCCATTCTTCCCCTGCTGCTCATAACCCGAAGGCATCAACATGTACACCTCTTCATCCAAATCACCATGGAGAAATGCATTATTTATGTCCAACTGATATAAATGCCATTGCAACTGAGTTGCTACAACCAATAAGGTCTTAACAATTACCAATTTTGCAACTGGGGAGAAATTTCCTCATAGTCTAAACTTGGCTGCTGAGTGAATCATTTGGCAACTAGGTGAGCCTTCTTCCTTTCTTTAGTCCATCTGATCTAAGCTTCACCTTGAATACCTATTTACAAGCAACGTGTTTCTTATGAGCTGGGAGCTTAATAATATCTAAATTATGATTAGAAACCAGTGCCTGGTACTCCAGTTCCATAGCTTGACATCATTCTGGGAACATGGATGCTTCATCATAAGAATGAGGCTCAAACGTAGTAGATAAAGCCAGTGTATACTCCTTATGTACAGGAGACAACGGATTATAGGCCAAATGATCTGATATGGGATATCCCATGCCTAATGCAGAATCTTTTGCCAAGGAGTCTAAGTGATAGGCACCTGAGAAGCTAGATTACAGTGATAATCTTTTAAGTGAGCTGGAGGTTTTGTGGTCCTTTTTGACTTTTGTATAGGAGTTGGAGATGTGGGAGGTGGAATGATGGTGAAGAAATTTGAGGAGAGTGAACAGAATGAGAAATGCTGTGATGAGGTGAGGTGAGACAGAAGTATCAGGGAAAATGACATCTAGGGATGGAGATGATACATCATGATGAGTTGAGAAGAGAGCTTGCGTAGGCTATGAAGGATAACCAAATTTTGATAGTGACTGAAGAAGAGAAGAATGATGAAATGGAAATATATTTTCGTAAAAAATGACATCTTTAGAATTGAATGTTGTATTAGTATGAAGGTTGTATAGCTTATAAGCCTTCATACCAGAGGGATATCTCAAGAAAATGCATGGTATGGCTCTAGGATCAAATTTGGTTCGATTTCTCTTCAAAGTTGCTGCATAACAGAGAAACCAAACACCTTGAGATGAGTATAAGACGGTGTGGCCTCATAGTGCATTTCATAGGGGGATTTATCAGCTAGGATAGATGTGGGAGTTCTGTTTATAATGTGTGTGGCAGTAATAATGCAGTCACCCCAAAATTTATGTGGTAGGTTAGCTTGAAACTTGATAGCTCTAGCAACATTCAAGATATGCTGGTGTTTTCTCTCTACCACATTGTTTTGTTGTGGAGTCTCTACACAACTACCTTGGTACAAAATGCCTTTGGAATTAAAGAAATCAGTCATAAGAAACTCTGCACCATTGTCTGATCTTAATGTCTTTTTATGGCATTGGAAATGTATTTGGATTAAGGAATAGAAGTTTTGGATATGTCCATGTCATCAGATATGTCCATGTCATCCTATTAAAATAATCTACAATAGTGAAAAAGTATTGAGAACCATTTAAGGAAGGAATGGAGTAAGGACCCTATATGTCATAGTGAATTATGTTAAATGCCTTGGAAGCTCTTGTTTCACTATGACGAAAAGAGAGTCTATGTTGTTTAGCCAAGGGGCAAATAGAACAATGAATGAATTTATTGAATGTTATACTGGGAACAAATTTATGCAAAGTAGACAATTTCGAAGGAGGAACATGTCCTAGCCGGCAATGCCATACATTAATGTTACTGTTGACAATACCATTATTTAATGAGTTACATGAAGCATTAGTAACTTTATTACAATGAAGGTCAGAAAGGAAACTACGACTAGTATTAAGGGGAATAATAGGATTAACACTGAGTGGTTTAACAGAATGTACTGTGGGCTGAAGAGATTCGATGAATGATTTGCTATTTAACTGATGATCAGGAAGTTGGAAGTGATACAATCCGTCCTCAAGTTTGCCTATCCCAACCATCTTCCATGTTAAAAGATCCTGTACAAAGCAAGCATTATATAGGAAAATCAGATAGCAATTATGTTTCAGAGTCAACTTGCTAGCAGATATT